TTGGATTCCCAAATCTCTAGTCTCAGACATAACCAGATATCCCCTTGAGCATTAGATATATTTTGGGTGCATCCATGTGGAAGCCCACAGACATTTCAAATGCAAGATGTTCAAAACTGAAGTCATTATTCCACCCCATCTCTGCTTCTTCAAAGGATCAGCTCCTCCTTACGTCTTATCCCAGGGGTATACCTAGTGACTAGACCAAAAACTTTAAAGTATCTTCTGTATCCTCATCTTGCAAATCCAGTTGGTCATCAAGGCCTGCTCATTTGTTTGCCCTTAATATCTCTTCAATCTGACTTCTCACTGTTTCAGCTGTCACTGCCCTAGATGTGACCCTCATCATCCTGCTTATTCCTGCTCTCCTCATTCCCATTCTCGCCACTCCTGCCAGAGTTAAGTCTGCCCATATCACGCCCTGCTTGATGTCATTCAAGGACTCATCTTCTCCTACACAGAAAAGCCATACTCCTTAGCCTTGTACTCCTGGTCCCCTGTCTTGGGTCCCTACCACATCTTCAGACCTATTTCTGAAACTTCATACTCTAGTCAAATGAGACCTCTTAAAGTTCTGCTGTCCCCCTCTATCATGTTTCTCACCACATCTTCACTCATGCCAGTTTCACCTGCCTGGCTTTCACATGTCCGTAAAAATCTTCCCTCCTCCAAGAAATCTTCCAAATTCCTTTACAGAGTGAGCTAAGGGTCACTGCTCTGTGGTGCCACAAAATTCTGTTTATTACTTTATCATATTTCTTACCATTATATTGAATAAATTTGTTTGTATATTTGATCACCTCAATGGATGCAGAAGAAACATTTGACAATACCCAACATCTATTTTTGATAGAAATCCTCAACAACTAAAAAGAGAAGGGAAGTTCCTCAACTTGCTATAGGGCATTTAAGAAAAACCTACTACTAAATCATATTTAATGATAAAAGACTGAATACTTTCCCCCTACAATTATGAGCCTGATGATGCTATGGGTTAAGCACTGGGCTACTAACTGAAAGATCAGTGGTTTAAACCCACTAGCCTCTAGATGAGAGAAAGATGAGGCAGACTGCTTCTATTAAAATGCACAACCTTGGGAACTGGTGGGACAGCTTTCCTCTGCTTGACTATGAGTCAGAACCAACTCAACAGCAGAGGGTTTTGGTTCTAAGATTATAAATAAGCCAGGTGTTTTCTAGCCAGTGTGACAAACCAGGAAATAGAGATAAAATACATCCGACTAGAAACGGAAAAGTTTAATTATCTTTATTCATAGGCAATATAACAATTTATGTAGACTACACTGTGGAATTTACACACTCACCAAAAAAAGCTACTAGGATTAATTAATGAAGCAGTAAGCAACTGGAGCTCTGGTAGCGTAGTGGTTACGAATCGGGCTGCGAACCTTAAGACCAGCAGTTCGAAACTACCAGCCGCTCCGCGGGAGAAAGATAAGGCATTCTGCTCCCATAAAGATTTACAGCCTCGGAAACCCTGTACAGGGTCGCTATGGGTCGGAACCGACTCGACGGCACTTAACAACAACAAGCAATTGGAAATTGAAAATTTTTAAATACTACATATTGTTGTTGTTGTTAAGTGCTGCCAAGTCGATTCTGACTCATAGAGATCCTATATAAGGTTTTCAAGGAGCAGCTGGTGTTTGAACTGTTGACCGTGAGGTTCAAACTAACCTCGAGGTTGAGTGCTTATCCTATGGCGCCACATCAGGTCTCCTGCCACATATATTTGTTGTTGTTCAGTGCTGTCAAGTCACTTCTGACCCATGTTGTTGTTGTTGTTTTTATGTGCCGTGGACTCATAGCGACCCTACACAGGGTTTCCGAGGCTGTAAATCTTTATGGGAGCAGATCGGCTCATCTTTCTCCCGCGGAACCGCTGGTAGTTTTGAACTGCTGACCTTGAGGCTCGCAGCCCGATTCGTAACCACTAGGCTACCAGAGCTCTGACCCATAGGGACCCTTTGTAGGGTTTCCAATGAACAGCTGGTGAACTTGAACTACCGACCTTGGGTTCAAACAGACTGTGTGGCACTGCGGATTAATGCGCTGAACCATATGGTAGCAATTTAAAATATACAATACTTAGGGATAAATCTGACAAAGAATGTGTTCATGGATTGGAAGACTCAATATTGTCAATTCTCCCCAAATTGATCTATAAATTCCATGAAATCCTGACCAAAATCCCAGCAGGCTTTTTTGGAAGTAACTGAGAAGCGATTTAATATTCATATGGAGTACAGTCAGTGGACTAATAATAGCTAAAACAATTTTCTTTAAAAATTAAGCATACATCTATCATATACCCTAGTTGTTCTTACTTCTGAGTACTTATCCAAGAGAAATAAAAGCACATGTCCAGACAGTACCTTATACATGAGAATTTATAACAGCTTCATATCGGTCGCTGTGACTCAGGTGTGACTCCATGGCCATGGGTATGGTTTGGATGGGTTATTTGTAATAGCCCCAAACAGGAAACAGCCCAAAAGACTATCAACAGATGAATGAATAAACACAGTAGAAGACTGGCTGGCTGGGTGGCTGTGCGCCATCAAGTAGATTCCAACTCATAGAGACTCTGTGAAGGGTTTCCGAGACTATAAATCTTTTCAGGAGCAGAAAGCCTCATCTTTCTCTGACAGGGAGGCTGTTGGGCTCAATCCACAGTCTAATGCTTCTCCTACAGAGGATCAGAATCCCCTTAGGCAGTTTTTAAATGTACAAGCTGTACCCCGAACAATAAAATTAGAATTTCTGGAGCTGACACCTTGGCACCCACATCTTTAAAGCTCCCAGAGTGATTCAAATGGACAGCTGATGCTGAGAGTCAGTGAGAATGTTTGACACATATGAAGACTACAAGGTATGAGGCACATATTCCCACACCCTGCACATATAAATTTTGATGAAATACAGGCCTTGGAAAGGATGTCCATGGTAATGAAATCCAATGTGAGAGTAGGATCCAGAGTTAGAAGGTCTAAAGCAGTAGGCAGATAAAAGGTAAGACTATAGCCATGGAACACATTATTCTGGAAATTCATTCTGCTGTTAGGGTAAGGGAACAGAAGGAAATTAATTGCAGAAAGATCAGTGGAACTATGAAACCTCCGAATACAAGGAACAGGTGGAACAAGATAGAGAAACTATCTCCAGATAGGGAAACTATCTCCTTATGCAAATGGAAACCAGCGGGGTTTGTAACCTTCAGTTATCTCAAGCTACCCATTAGCTTTCCCCTTAACCAGTTTTCAATGCAGATACAAAACATCACTGAGGACCCCAACATAGCATCACCAGGGCAGATCTGGTTCTTGAACCAGGATCCTGACAGAAGGGTGCATGCATGGGCATGTCAAATATCCCAGACACCTCCACAATGGAATCCATCCTTAAACCTTAGACTCCACCATGGACCCCAGATGTGAACACAGCACGGGAAAAGCAAGGAAACAGCACACAGAAACAGAAATGTGCCAACGGGAAAGCCCACCCCTTTTTTGAAATCTGACAAATTAGTCTGCCCCTTAACCTCAGGCTTTAAAAACACCACAAGGAGAGATGCTGCTGCCTGCAGGTTTGTCTCATATGCTAATAAAATTCTTTAGTACTATATTTCATGACTTTCTAATCTTCTGTAGCCTGAGCCAGTATCACTGTCTTGTTAACAAAATTAAGGTTATGTGTCTTGAGAAGATGGAGAGCAGAATCATCCAGGTCTCTGGCCATGTGGTTGTTAATTCTCTTCTCCTTTGAAAGACCCCTAGACAGTGATCAAAGAAATTCCCCACTGGCATTCAGAGAACAGAAGGCGAGATACCCAGTTATAGGAAGCCAAGAATGAGCATCAAGGACACAAGAGAGTAAGTTGCCTCAATTTTTCCTCTAAACTGAAGTTTCTTTAAATTTGGACTGCATTAGAATCACCTAGGGAGGATATGCCTAGAGTAAGGCCCAGCTATCTGTAATTTTAAAATTATACTCATACTCCCAGTGTTTCAGAATGACAGCTTCCTGAAGCCAACATCCATTCAAAATGTCCCATCTCCACCCAGACTCAAATGCCAGCTTTCCATGTGGATAGAGAAGAATAATGAGTTTTAGTTGATGAAGGCATTCTGATCCCAGTTTACTATGCATAAGGCAGGGCAGAGTAGGGGCAGATTGTGGGGAAAGCAAGAGTAAAATTGTGTCTTCGGTACAGGGGAAGGGAGTCCCTGGATGGTATACACAGTTAATGTACTTGGTTGCTAACTGAAAGGCTGGAGGTTTGGGTCCACCTCAGAAGGAAGACTTGAAGATCTGCTTCTGAAAACCTTACATAACTCAGTTCTACTCTGGAGTTCAACTCGTGGCATTGCCATGATGGTTATACAAGAGACTTTGACTAAGACTCATCAGAGCCAGTAATAACCATTCAACAGGGGCCACAAAGTCAAGGCCAGACCCTGAGCAGCAGCAAGACTTTGTCACACACATACTCCTTCAAGGCTTGACAAGAAGTGAGCCCCTTAATGCCTCTGCCACTCCTACTTATGATGTCATGGAAATCCTACAGTTTTGGTGACTGGGCTCCTAAACTCAGCAACCTGCCCATAGCTGTGGTGAGGCAGCTGAAATCCTCAAAGCGTTGTTGCTATAGGGGGTTGGAGTCAACAAGTAGTTCAGGATGTGTGACATGGCAGAGCCTGGATCCTAAACTCAGAGAGTCCAAAGAGTCAGAATAGCCAGGAGCCTGCCTACTAGACTGTTCATATAGAGCAGAGGGAGGGAAGAGATGAAAAAAACACAGGTGGGTAGGATAGAAAGTGAACACAAGGTCCCAGCCAAGTCAGGTCAACTCGCATCTCTTGCCCTAGAGCTTGAAAAGTCCAGGAGTCTGCTGAGTGAAAGCAGACATTTTTATTGTCTGAGCAAGGAGAGAAGGTACAGCTGATAAGTGATGTTCTTGTAAGCCACCAGTCTCTGGTTCACTTGTTCTGAGGCCAGTTTCTTCCAATATGGCTGAAGTGAGCATCATCCCGATCTCTGAGGGGCTAAAAGATGAGAAGGGAAAACAGTGAAACAGGGCCAAAAACCTCCTGGAAAGGACTGCAGCGGACCCCAGAAGACAGCATTCATACCTGACATTTCAGAGCCCCCATGATGAATTCCACACCTTGACCCTCCACACAGACACTTAATACCTAGTGTCTATCCCTCCATTCCCATTCACCCTTCATCTCATTCTTGTCTCTTCCTCTTCATAGCTCACCTGATAGAGCTGGTCATTCCTCACCAGAGTTTGAGTGTCAGCAGCTAGAAGAGCCAAAGAAAGAGAGTCATCAATGGCCTAGGAGAACAGGGCAGTGAAATCACAGAGATACTACTAGTGGGGGAATTGCAGCTGGCCACACCTTCCAGACCCTCTGGAGTCTGCATGAGCAAGATGGATACACAAGTCCTTTCAATGGCCAGTTATCAGAGTCCTCAGAGGATAAGAAAGTGACTCCCAGGTGACACTGAATCTCACTACATCCTCATTCCCTAACAGGTTCCAGAGCTCACTTGCAAACCACACACACTCTATCCCTTCCACTTACCTCCAGAGAACCTTCCAGTCTCGTGTCCAGCAAAGCAGTAGACCCCCAGAGCAAGGAGGAGAGTGGCAATGAGGTCAGTGATGATGATGCCAGCCAGAGTGGCTGAGTCCAGTTCCACACAATTCTGACACACTATGGGAATAGAAGAAAAAGGAGAAGTAGACAGTCTTCAGGATCAGAGAGCCTACAATGCCCTTAAAGCAGATTCAGGATCTCTCATACCAAGACCCAGACTTTAATAAGAACCTGAGAGGGAGAGCTGTTGATATCCTGGCTGTATCCACCTCTACCCTTCATCCCAAGGAATCCCTGAGGAGAGCCAATAAGCAGTCTTAGTTTTGTTGGACTGTAAAGAAGAAAATGGGTTAAACCTCTCTTCCAGCCAAGTGCTGACCCCTACTGCTCTTATTCTCATAGCTAAGTTTTCTCTCCTATTCTGAGACCACCAAAATCTTGGCTCATACCATTACAAAAGAGTGGCCCCTGTTTGTGTAGAGAAAAAATTGGTCCACAACTGTCCCCTCCAGTCAGAAAGCTCTCATATCAAAAGCCCCATCCATTCCAACTCAAAGACTCCAGGAAGCACGTACTTCGATAGTATACTTCCACAGAATACTCTTTTCCAGCTTCATCACCTGTCCCATTACATTTATACATTCCTTGTGGATCCAGGATGCGTTTTCCCAAGTCCAGATGTTTATTGTCTGAAATCGGGTTCCCCTTTGTTCCTTCTATCCACGTGATGTTGTTACCGCAAGTTAAAATCACCTTGTCCTCATGTTCCTCCACGTTTATCTTGCAGAAGCTTACTAAGGAAAAGGGAAAAAAGTATCACAATCGGTATTTGTGCACCAGACCCTTAAACTGCTGAGGCTCATGCTTCAGAAGGATCGCTTTCCTAGTTTATGGCAGTATATCAGCATAGTGTTTCTAGGACATACAATATCACGAAAGAAGACTTTGTAATATTCCCTGGGAACTAGAGAGCCAAATATACAAGGATGTAGTCATCCATGCAAACAATAGGTCCTGAGTGGCACAGAGCAAAAAAGAAATCCAGGAGGTGGGTTGATCAGGAATCTTCATAGACATGAGGGAAACATAGCTAGCGGAAGTCCCTAAGAGATATGGAAAGACAGAAGAACATTCATCAGTTGGAGATGCCCCCATTTTTTTCTCTAAGAAAGCACCTAATGTAACTTCTAATGTTCTTTCTCATTCTCCTTCCTCCCCATTGTCCCACCCCCAACAACAATTATCAAGAGCATGGGATCTCACTACTAAAGCCTTTGCAATTGCCAGTGATGGTTAAAGGTGAGAGAGAATCTGACATAAACTTAGAGCCCAGTAATCCAGAGGAAGCCCAAGGAAAATCCCATGTAAACATTTTTAGCTGTTCCCCCATTGCTGGGTTGGGGAGTGTATCAAATCCATTCTTGGAGTTGCAGTCTCTGGATGTCATTCCACAAGTCAAGTCGAGCAGTTGCAAGTGTTGAGAGTAAACACAACACCTTTCTGGAATCAGTATCTTCAACTCTAGGAAAAAGTAAAAGCTACATTCTCCCTAAGCTTCATACTCTGTTACCAACTTGAATATATGAACATCCTCTAGAAAACTCCTAAATAGCAGCTTCTCATGCCTCTGAAGAAAGGAGACACATGTACAGCAGATGCTTCATAGCCTATAGGCATGTGTTCCTTGAGGATCTATTTCCAAAGGAAATCCCAATGTCCTGGTGCATCTGACTATTAGGGTAATCAATCATCCCAGTGTTCCTGAGATGATGGAGTTGTTAGGACAAGGGACTTTCAGGTTTAAAAGCAAGACTCATTCACTGTGAGTCATCTAGCTGATTCCAACTCATAGCGATCCTTTATAGGGTTTCTGAGGCTGTAAATCTTGATGTAAGCAGATAGCTTCATCTTTCTCCCATAAGGGAGCTGGTGGGTTTGAACTATCAACCAAATGGTTAGCAGTCAGGAGCTTATCTTATAGCACTATCAGAGCTCCTAAAACCAAGACAGTACCAGGTAAACCAGGAAGCAGTGCTCATCCTGACTACACAGTACCCTCCCAAAACTACCTCCCTCCTTCTCAACCTGAAGTATTCCCTTGAGTGCTGGGGCATGGATCCAGGTGATGATGCTATGATGATCAAATGACCAGAGACTACCGGCTCTAGAAGGTACTCCCATTATCCGGCTTAGGCTCAGGCACACATATCCTGTACATTTCCTACAGATCATCCAAGGCAAATAAGGAATCCCTGGCCAGAATCAGTCAGAAGTACAGGGCTGTGCTACATTACAATCAAGCTTTTCACCCTGGGGTACCTGATGAACGCTAGCATGAAGAAGGATTTTCAAGGGGACCTCACTGGAGATGCTCTCATTGGTAACGTCCCTCTCAAACTCTTTCTGTAAGATGCCCACCCATCTGTGGCAGACTTACCTTGGAGAAGAAGGGTAGCCAGGATCAGGCCAACCAGAAACTTGCTCTGCTCCATCTTTCATCCAAATTCACCTAGTAGGCCCAGATCGTAGAGCTATCAACTAGGGTGAGAGCAGCCCTCCCCCTCTGACTCACAGTACCGGAAAAAGTAAAGGGTGGGGGAGGAACCAGAAAGCAAATACTTCTCAGCCTTCTGCCATTGATGATGGGTAAGGGTAGAGACTGGGGGTGGGGTAAGAAGGAAGCGGATATAAATTACTCTTTCTCTGAGCATGGAGCTTGAGGATGGAGTGAAAGGGAAAAGGTTGTTTTGTTTCTAGGAAGAACTTTAGCTTCGCCTTTCCTAAGTTGCTGATGAAAAACAAGAACTTCAGAGTCTGAAAACTGTCCCTTCTCAAAACCACTTGAAAGAAGCTGAGTCCCATTACACAGGCATACAGCTAGTTCCTCCTGTTCTGTCCTCACTGGAACAGTCTGCGACACCAGACCAAGCAGCTTCTTCATCCCAGGGGAAGGTTGAAATTTAGAGCCACTAAGCCAGAGATTTGAATCCTGGTTCCAATACTACTTGTTGTTGCTAAGTGCCATCGAGTCGATTCTAACTCATAGCGACCCTAGGGTTGCTGAGGAGCGGCCAGTGAACTTGGACCACCCATCTCTGTGGTTCAAACCAACCTTGCAGTTCAGCGCATTAACCCACAGCACCACACCAGGACTCCATCCGCTAGTACTTAGTTGGCAGAAAATGGATGGAGTCACTGGGTAGTGCAAACTGTTAATGTACTCGATTGCTAACCAAAAGGTTACTAGTTCAAATCCACTCAGAAGTGTCTCAGAAGAACGATTGGGAGACCTACTTCCAAAACTTCAGCCATTAAAAACCCATGGAGCACAGTTCTATTCTGTTACACAGGTGGTCATCCACTCAACAGCAGCTAATTGCTTTGTTTTGTTTTGTATGTGTGTGTGTATGTGAGAGAGAGAGAGATACTGGACCTGCCATGTAACTTTTCAGAGCCTAAATTTTTTAGTATTTTCATAAAGAGACAAACAAAATGTTAGCATTAAGACTGACATATCATCTACACTCAGTAAAAAGGAATTATTAATACTCACAGGCAGGATTGACACTCCCCAGAAAACAGAGTTGTTGGGTTTTTGGGGCCCCTACTCCCACCCCAACAACAACAACAACAACCCCCACCCCACCCCAGGGATCTTAAACTCTGCCTGTCCTATTGAACTATCATTTACCTGGAGTACGGATAGTGTCTGCTTGCTCACTCCTGTATTCCCAACACCTAGATTGTGTCTGGCACAAAATAGAAGTTCTAGAAGTACTAATGGATTGATGCATGGATGGATGGATGAATGGATGAATGAATGAATGAATGAGGGATGTGAGACCCTAAGAGTCTGGAAACTCAGTCCAGGTTCTGACCCTGGGGCCAACCGGTCTTGTGTTCCGGGGCTAGGCTGTTCCACCTATGCCTGTCCAGGCAGGCACCAGTTTGGTAATTTCATCTCAAAAGAACCGTGCAAAACCCCTGAATCAAGGCCTGGCTGAGGTGGTTTTCCACTCTGAGCTCCAACCATAAGCCCCTGAGGGCTGCGTCCAAATGCATTCATTCTAGCAACAGCTGGTTGTTGTTGTTATGTGCTGTGGTGTCAGTTCCGACTCATAGCGACTCTGTACAGGGTTTCCAAGGCTGTAAATCTTTACAGGGGCAGAAAGCCTCATCTTTCTCCCATAGAACAGCTGGTAGTTTCAAACCGCTAACCGAATGAGATTAGCAGCCCACAGGGAAATTATATCCCTCCTGAGGGAAAAAATTCAGAATCATCTCCCACCCAGCACTCGCAGTGGCTTTGTGAAATCATGATCTCTGAGATGGTAATACTTTCTTTCAAACCCTCTCACCAGCCCCACCCTCCACTTCATCCATACCCAGAGCAGCCTTAACGGAAAAGCACAAAACATCTGCACCTGCAGCCCTGCTCAGGCCCTGCCTCCCACACTTGAAGCAAGAGGAGGAGGCTCTGGTTTTTTACCTCATTACAGGGTCCCCAGGCTGAAGGGTGCTGGGCGGAGCCACGCTAGCTGCTGTGCAGGCTGGAGGACTAATAACTAAAGGCTGCTCAGTGGTTTTACAAGAAAGAAGGAGACTGACATGGAGCAGAGGAAAGGTCTGGCCAGCCTCGTGCTGGTTATTGTTCTTCTTCAAGGTAAGAGCCCTCAGAGGGGTCCTAGAAGCTTAGAGAAGGGCTAAAGGGAAAATTCCATGGGAAAAGCAGGACTATTACGATCTCTAACCTCAAGCCCACCTCAGCTGTTGCCCTAAAGTTCAGAGCAAGGGTAAAAATGAAGCCTCTCTGTTAGAAAGAAGCAGTGCCCCCTGGGAGAACTGGGCTCCCTGTCTCTGAAAGCTCAAAAAACATATAACTTAATTGGCTAGAAAAAGATTTTGCTGCCGCCATCTTAGGCTTGAAAGTAACCCTAAAAGGCACAGGCCAGGAACCTTAAAGGAAAAGCTCAGAACTGGGGCTAAGAGGCTTTGAAGCATTCACTCACTCAGCTGGTCAGTTGGTCAACAACTATGGCTGATATTCTATTATGTGATCGTTGTTGTTGTTAAGTGCCGTCGAGTTGGCTCCAATCCATAGCAATGCTGAGTAGGGTTTCCAAGGAGTGTCTGGTGGGCTTGAACTGCAAACAACTTTGCAGTTCAGCACATTAACCCAAAGCACCAAATAGATTGTTGTTATTGTTGCTGTTGTTAAGTGCTGTCGAGTCAGTTCTAACTCAGAGACCCTGTATAGAGTTTCCAAGAAGCACCTGGTGGGTTTGAACTGCCAACCTTACGGTTAGCAGTTCAGTGCTTATCCTAAGAATATAAAGATAAATGAAAAAAAATTTCTAACCCAAAGAGTTCACAGTCTAATGGGAGACATACTCAGTTACCAGACTAAGTATAAAGTGTCTGTAAGTATATCCAGTTGAATATTTCCAAGAGGAAATGGATTAACTGGACTAAATCCTGGCTTCTGGAGCCTTCACACCTTACAGAAAACAAACAAGCAGAAAACATTATTGCCATCAAGTCCATTCTGACTCATAGCAAGCCTGTAGACTGTAAATCTTTACGAGAACAAAAGCCTCTTTCTCCATACAATGGTATTGTTAATTGCTATTTGTTGTTGTTAAGTGCCGTGGATTCAATTCCAACCCTTAGCAACCCTGTATAGGGTTTCCAAGGAGCAGCTGGTGAGTTTGAACCACCAACCTTGCAGTTCAAATGACTTTGCAGTCTGACACATTAGCCTACAGTGCCACACCAGTTGGTTCCAACTCATAGCGACCCCGTACAGGGTTTCCAAGGAGCAGCTAGTAGGTTTGAACTGCCACCAGGAGTCCTCTCCACATGTTGTTGTTGTTAAGTACTCTCGAGTCATATTATTGTTGCTGTTGTTAAGTGCCATCAAGTCAGTTCTAACTCATAGCAGCCCTGTACAAGGTTTCCAAGGAGCAGCTAATAGATTTGAACCACCTACTTTGTGGATGCCAGTCAAGTGCTTATCCTATAGCGCCATACCAGGGATAGCCAAAACCATGAAAGTCATTAAAAATCACACAAGTACTATGTGATAAGTGAAGAAGAAGAATCTGAGAACAGAGTTGTGAGGACACCAACCTTTAAAGAGCAATTGTTGTTGTTGTTGTTATGTGCTGTGGAGTCAGTTCTGACTCATAGCGACCCTGTACAGGGTTTCCGAGGCTATAAATCTTTACGGGAGCAGAAAGCCTCAGCTTTCCCCCACAGAAGAGCTGGTAGTTTCGAACTGCTGACCATGAGATTAGCAGCCCGATTAGGTTTAAAAAAAAGCAAAATCCTCAGAAAGAGGCAAAGCCATAATCAAAGAGCTAAAAAAAATGGGCTGAGTACAGTAAGTCAGATTCAAAGGAGTAGAGAGACTCCAGAAAGAGAGATTATGAAGAGAATTTTGATAAAAAGAAAGTACACCAAGAGTATGAAATGCTAAGAAAGTTCCATTAATATGACATTATTTGAAAAGTTTAAACCTTTGGGATTTGGCAAAATAAAGCTTGTGGAAGACATCATTTCAGTGGGATAGTAAAGTGAAAGCTAAGTAGAAATGATAGAAGATGAAGGGCAGCAAGTATAGACTATTCTTTAATGAAGTTTGGATGAGAAAGGAGAAGAATCTGAATGGTAGGTTAAAGGACAATATGAGTCTAGGAAGAAATTTTATTCTGAGGGTGAAAGAAACTTGAGTACATTGCTAGGATAAAAGACAGGACAATGAATTGATGTTAAAGGTCCTGGAATTGGTGTGGGAAGTATAGGGCCAAGAGCAGGGCTAAGGGTACAGAGGGAAAAGAAATCTTACCTTCAGAGACTAGGAGAAAGGAAATGTAGTTGGCTGTGGACATAGATAGGCTTGTAGATGGAAAGGAAGCAAAGGAAAAAAGGCCATACAGTATCTGTGTTCTCAACAAACTAAGTGGCAGGCAATGCTGCTGGCTGAAAATGAACCAGATGAGGGTCAAATGGAGAATTTGCAGAGGACAATGAGAGATTAGAATCATTTCTGAGGGGAATAGGAGGAAGATCTGGATCAAGATAATACAGATTGAAGGGCAGTGCTAAAAGCCTGTTTGAATCTGCTCAAGACAGTGAAAAAAGCATTGGGCTGACCAACAGAAAACCTGAGTCCTGAGTCCAGCCCAGTCATCAATGGACTGTATGAATTGGAGTTCCATCTAGGAAACTTGACTACATGACCTCTCAGGTCCTAAGCGGAAGCAGGACTTGATAGACAAAATTAAAAGATCAATATAGGCATAGCTCAGAGATATTGTAGGTTCAATTCCAGATCACCACAATAAAGCAAATATCACACTATTTGTCACACAATATTTTTGGTTTCCCAGTTGCAGTGCAGTAAATTACTTCATATAGTTCTTCTACCCATAATCTATGTAGCTTCCACCAAACAACTTTTTTCCTGATGGGTCTGGGTAAGAGAAGGAGAGGAAAGAAGCTAATAGAATTATATAGTTCCATTGTGAATGATTGTCATCGTAAGTATAAAAACTTGGAACTTCAACATTGGTATAAAATGAGCCATCTTAGAAGCAGGAAAGGGAAATCTCACTACCATCAAGGAGGAAGAGTCAGGATTGGAGTATGTGCGTCCTTTGGACCGCAAGATCTCAACACGTTGAACCTCCTTGATCCAGCAGACAGAGTTGTGACATCAGAGAAGTGGCAGCAGCAGAAACAAGAGTCAGAGCACAAGACAGGGCTGTGGACTTCCTGGCCCATGGAACAAATAAAGCTGAGTCCTTTGAGCAGAGGCTTGTTTGTGGAGCAGGGTGCCTCCAGGCTCTTAATTGAGGAGCTGGATTTGCTGATTCATGGAGTGCCTTTGGGTTGAGGTTTATAATGGAGCCGAATGCCCTTTGGTTAAAGAACTTTGTAATATTGCCTGAGAAAGGCAAAGATCGAGGGGCCAGAGAAAGGCCTGCCTATGGGCAAGACAGAGAAGAGGCTGTCCCCACCAAAGAACTGTCCTGCATTATAACCTGTTAACTAATAAACTCCATAACTGTGCATATGGTGTCTGAGTTAATGTGTGGCCATTGCAATGAATGATCAAACTCAGCAGAGTAGAGAGTGCTATGGGAGGAGTGATTGATGTCTGTTTTTACACCAGTACATAGAAATGTTGTGTTTATATTATACTGTAATCTATTAAGTGTGCAATAGTATGAAAATTTTTGAAATATTGTGAGAATTATCCAAATGTGTCACATTAAATAGAAGCAAAATGGCACAAATAGACTTGATCAATTTAAAGTTGCCACAGACCTTCAATTTGGGGGAGGGGGGGGAGAAGAAAAAATGAAATAACTGCAAATTGTAATAAAGTGAGATACATATGTAGTCCATTTGATCTTCTCTCCAGTGGACAGTGTCTTAGAACAAGACTTCTCTGTCCCTCCCATGGTGATCAGGTGCTCAGGGAAAATGACTAGTAAAATATATGCTTAACTGTGTATCTTTTTTATTATTATTGATCTGCTCATTCATGTATTCATTCAAAAGTAATTGACAAACCTGTGTGAGGTTTGTGAGGTTTGACAGCCCAAACCTACATGAGGTTCAATGACAGCCCACTAGTTTTGGGAAGAGGAGAATGCTGGCTGTAGCTATTTCCACCATTCCTCTTCCTATTACAAGTTCGGAGTCCTGGTGTGGTGCTGTGGGTTAAAGTCCTGGACTGCAAAATCAGTTTGAACTGTAAGGTCAGCGGTTCAAGCTCACCAACCACTCATTGGAAACCCAACACAGGGTTGCTATGGGTCGCTATGGGTCACTATGCAACTGACTCGATGGCACTTAACAACAACAACATCACAAGTTCTACCTCTAGCATATATGTATCCTTCCTCAATTATTTTTTCTATCTAAAATGCGTTTTTCCAGCTAGTGAATTTCTTTAAGGCAAGCCAAATGTTACCTGACCCTCCACCCTTGGACAAAAGCAATAGATTCTTCCCCATTCATATACATTCATATATGTACTAAGAGAGCACTTACAAGTTCAAGTACATTAATTAGGTACATGTGTTTACATTTTTCACTTCATTGTAAACGCATCAAAAGCAGTGACTAGTTCTTTATATTACTTTACATTCTGTCATAATAGAAGTCCTGGTGGTACACTGTTTAAAGCATTCCGCTTCTACCGATTGGTCAGTGGTTCAAACCTACCAGCCACTACATGGGAGAAAGATGTGGAAGTCTGCTTCCATAAAGATTTACAGCCTTGGAAACCCTATGGGATAGTTTTACTCTAGCTTATAGGGTCGCTATGAGTAGGAATCAACTCCATGGTCATGGGTTTGGGGTCTTTTACAATGTCTAACCATGCCAGATACATACTCAGTGAATGTTTGTATTAAACAACTCCATGCTAAGTTTCTGTAGCATAGCCAATATGCAACTCTACTACTCTGAACTTTAAGACAGATTTGAGGGTCATTGGCTAGCTAACCTTCTGGGACATCTAGGATTTTGATGTGAAATGAATCACCAAAGCTGAAGACTTAAGAAGTAACTCAGCATTAAAAGGTCTGGATGCTTTGGTTAGTGCATATCCATTCCTTGTCCAGATTCTACCTACTCAAAGAACAGAGTATTATGGACTGCACAAGCAATTGGTGCCAAGGACCAAATTGGACCCTGAATCCAATCTGGTGATTTAGGCTATGATCCTGGGAAGTAGGTAGAGATACTGTCATTTCCAGTCTTGGCTTCAACCAATATGAAAATGATAGCTCAGAACATCTAAGCAATCCCATACCAAGCTGATCCTCTCTCATCTGTCTCTACAGGTACAGTGGCTGTGATGAAACAAGGTAGGGGAATTATTTTCTGTGTTCAAACTCTGAGGAAACCCATAGAAATATGACTTCCTACAATAGTAGTTCTATAGAAGTGAACAATTTAGGAGTGATGGGATGACGGGGGTGACCTCTCCATTATAACTGGTCAGCCATACTTGCTTTAGGCAGTTTTCCAGAAGATAAACAATTAATTTTATAATTCTTAACAGAAGAAATAGGACCTAGTAGTTAAGCACTACTCAAAATGTGATCCATGAGCCAACAGCATTGGTACCACCTGGGAACATGTCAGAAAACTCAGTCCTCCCTCAGAATAATTGAATAACTTTTTAACAACAGGCCATGTAACTCAAGTGTAAGTTTAAGAAGTACTACTTGAATGTTCTTCCCTTGGTACTTGGGATAGGGAGAATTCCAGAGGCAAGATCCATACTAGAACCATGGCTTTTCCCTTTTTCAGAAAAACAATTGATAAAAGTGGATGACAATCGAGAAGATGGTTCAGTACTTTTGACTTGTGGGTTGGAAGATGAAGCTATCAGATGGTTTAAAGATGGAAAGGAAATGTATGCAGTAAAGAAAAATAAAGCCTGGAATCTGGGAAATAGTGCCAACGACCCTCAAGGGATGTATTGGTGCCAAGGATCAAAGAACAATTCAGAAACATCCCTCTATGTGTATTTTAGAAGTATGTAATACCCTTTGGTTTGTTTGTTAATTTGTTGTGAAATTAAGAAGTTGTTGCTGTTCTGGTGAGCTTCCTGTCTACGGTGAAAGTTTGCCTTTCTTAAGACATAGTTCCTCTAGCATAGCCAGTTATTCCTGTAAAGTATGGCTTACTTTCAGATGGGTCCCACGGATTGAAGCAGTTCCGTTCCTTCTGTGATCTGGGATGGGAAGAGTGAGGGATAATAACTACAAGGTGAACAGCAATGTAGAATGGAGGGCTGTTGAATGAGGAGAAGGAGATCTGATTTTCCTCCAAGTCTATGTAGTTCCTGATAGTGAGACTACAAGGGCTTCCCCAGGACTCCTGGGACACTGAGAAACATCAGGAAACATTGAGTTCTTGGTCCTAGGGCCTTCTTAGGCAATTCCATTGCCATGTCATCCACAGAAGGAAAAGCCATCTGTCCTAGACAGAAGCATTGTAATTGTTGGGCAGGAGAAAAATGTCCAGCATAACTTTTCCACCCTGAAGTAGGCTTGTCCCTGTCTTTTCCCCACAGTGTGTCAGAACTGCATTGAACTGAACGTAAGCACAGTAATCGGCTTTATCATTGCTGAAATCATCAGCATTTTCTTCCTTGCTGTTGGGATCTACTTCATTGCTGGGCAGGATGGAGTTCATCAGTCACGAGGTAAAAAAATTCATCTAAGATGTTTCATTTGACCATCTGGGACCCTCACTCTGAGTTATCACATGCAGTCAGGTGAAGCCCTGCATCTGTGGGGCAGGAGAAAGGATACTTGGTATCATCCACAACATACTGACTCCCTCTGACTTGTCCTCATGGTGTTTTTTAAAAACTTTTTATCAAAATGAAACTTACATACACAAAAATGGATAAATCACAATGTATAGATCAAAAAATTAAACAAAGCAAACACACTCATTAATTCTGCACCCAGTTAAAAAATGTCACCAACACTTTAGAAGCCCCACCTTGTGGTCACTTCCAGTCAATTCCTATCCCTAAGAGTAAGCACAATTCTGACTTCTAACATGGATTAAAGGAGCTCTGGTATCACAGTGGTTACGAATCGGACTGCTAATCTCACGTCAGCAGTTCAAAACTACCAGCTGTTCCATGGGAGAAAGATGAGGCTTTCTGCTCCCGTAAAGATTTACAGCCTCGGGAATCCTGCACAGGGTTGCTGTGAGTTGGAACCGACTCCACAGCACATAACAACAACATGGATAAAGCACTGGGCTGCTAACCTCACAGTCAGTGATTCACACTCACCATTACTCTGTAAGGGAAAGATGATACTGTGTGGTCCTGTAAAGACTTACAGGTTCTGAAACCCTAAAGAGCAGTTCTCTGTCCTATAGAGTGGCTGTGAGTTGGAATTGAATCAATGGCTGTTTTTTAAAACATGGATTTATTTTGCCTGTTTTTGTTCTTAAGTTTTTTAAAACATGGATTTATTTTGCCTGTTTTTGTTCTTAAGTACTTTTGTATGTGATTTCTTTCATTCAACAATATGCTTGCGAAACTTAGCCATATTATTGTTTATAGGTGTAGCTCACTAATTCATATTGCTATTGTAAATCCAGTTCATTATCCATTCTATCTTTTGTGAATATGTGTGTGTGTGTTGTTGTTTGTGCAGCTTCAGACAAGCAGACTCTGTTGCCCAGTGACCAGCTCTACCAGGTAAGGGAATTAATTAATCAAAGAGACATTGCTACAATTCAAAGGGGTAAAATTTCTGGATCTGGGAGCAAGTTATTTGGAAGGCTCTATATGGTGCTGTGGGTTAATGCGCCAGACTGCAAAGCCATTTGAACCGCAAGGTTGGTGGGTCAAGCTCACCAGCTGCTCCTCAGAAACCCTCTACAGCGTTGCTAAGGGTCGGAATCAACTCGATGGCACTTAACAATAACATATGGCACTGTAAGATCGACATTGGACTACAAACCACAAGGTCAGCAGTTCACACCCACCAGGGAAAACCTATGCAGGATCTCTATGAGTAGAAACCAACTCACAGCACTTAACAACAACAACAGCATATGGTGTTGTAAGATAAGTCATCGACAGCTAATAAGGTCGGTGGTGCAAACTCTCTACAGGATCCCTATGAGTCAGAACTAACTCAATGGCACTTAACAATAACAACAATATACATATATATGTATATAGAAGGAACTGCTTAAGGCATACCAAATGATAGGAATGAGACAAAGAGAAGAATTGAAAGAAGCTGAAAGCAGGGCCTACTAAGAAAAAGCTGGAGGAACTGCATCCAAAGCCTCCATCTCTTTGTCCTCTCTCTGCCTCCAGGACCGTTGTTGTGTTGTTAGGTGCCATCTAGTCAGTGCCAACTCATAGTGAACTTATACACAACAGAACAAAACATTGCCAGGTCCTGCAGCAATCTCATAATCGTTGCTGTGCTAGAGACCCTTGCTGCAGCCACTGTACCAATGTATCTCGTTGGGGGTCTTCTTCTTTTTCGCTGACCTTCCACTTTACCAAACATGATGTCCTTCTCCAAGGACTGGTCCCTTCTGATAATAAGTCCAAAATATAAGAGACAAAGTCTCACTATCCTGGCTTCTAAAGAGCATTCTTGCTGTACTTCTTCCAATACAGATTTGTTTGTTCTAGCAGTTCATAGTACTTTTAATATTCTTCTCCAACACCGTAACGCAAATGCATCAATTCTTCTATGGTCTTCCTTATTCATTGTCCAACTTTTACATTCATATTATTGAAAATACCAGAGCTTTGTGTCAGGCAACCCTTAATCCTCAAACTGACATCTTTGTTCTTGAACACTTTAAAGAGGTCTTGTGCAACAGATTTACTAATGTAATACATCATTTGATTTCTTGATTGTTGCTTCCATATTGATGGTGTTGATGATGGATCTGAGCAAAATGAAGTCTTTGACAACTTTAATCTTTTATCCATTTATCTGGATGTTATTTATTGGTCCAGTTGTGAGGACTTTTGTTTCCTATATATTGAGATACAACCCATACAGAAAGCTATGGTCTTTGATCTTCATCAGTAAGGATTTTAAGTCCTTTTGGCTTTCAGCAAGCAAGGTTGTATCATCTGCATGTCTCAGGTTGTTAATGAGTCTTCCTACAATCCTGATGCCACGTTTTTCTTCATATATTCCAGCTTCTAGGATTATTTGCTCAGCATACAGAATGAATAAGTATAGTGAAAGAATACAACCCTGGCGCACACCTTTCCTTAATTGTAAACCATTCAGTATTCCCTTGTTTGTTTTGCCTGCCATTTCCTTATGAGCACAATTAAATATTCTGGAATACTCATTCTCCACAAAATTCATAGTTTGTCATGATCCACACAGTCAAAACCCTTTCCATAATCAATAAAGCACAGGTAAACATCTTTCTGGTATTCTCTGCTTTCAGTCAAGATCCATCTGTTGTCAGCAATATCCCTTGTTCCACGTACTCATCTGAATCTGGCTTGAACCGCTGGCAGATCCCTGTCAATGCAGTCATTTTTTAATTAGCTTTAGCAAAATTTTACTTGCATGCAATGTTAATTTTACTTGCATGGCAGTTCCCTGTCAATGCAGTCATTTTTAATTAGCTTTAGAAAAATTTTACTTGCATGCAATGTTTGATGATTTCTGCACTCCTTTGGGTCAACTCTTCAGAATGGGCACAAATATGGATCTCATCCAATCATTTGACCAGGTATCTGTCTTCCAAATTTCTTGGCATAAATGAGTGCCTACAGTGTTGCATCAGTTTGTTGAAAGATTTCAGTTTGTATTCCATCAATTCCCAGAATCTTGTTCTTTGCCAATACCTTCAGTGCACATTGGATTTCTTTTTTCAGTACCATTGATTCTAGTTCTTAAAACAGTTGAACATCATGGGAGAAATGCTGAATTTGTTCTTTCCTTTTGGTTTTCTAACTCCAGATCTTTGCACATTTCATTATAATATTTGGCTTTGTCTTCTCAAGCTGCCCTTTGAAATTTTCTGGTCAGTTCTTTTACTTCCTCATTTCTTCTATTTGCTTTAGCATCTCAACACTGGAGAGCAAGTTTTAAAGTCTCTTCTGACATCCACTTTGGTCTTTTCCTTCTTTCTTGTCTTCTTAATGACCTTTTGCTTTCTTCCTGCATGATGTTCTTGATGTCATCCCACAACTCTTCTGGTCTTCAGTCATTAGTATCTAAGCAACAAATTTTTTTCTTGAGATGATCTTAAATTCTGATGGGATATTTCCAAAGCCACGTTTTAGCTCTCAAGGACTTATTTTAATTTTCTTCAGCTTCAGCCTGAACTTGTCTATGAGCAAATGATGATCTGTTCCACAGACTGCCTCTGGCCTTGTTTTGGCAGATAATGTGGAGCTTTTCCACCTTCTCTTTCCACAGATGTAGTCAGTTTGCTTTCTGTGTATTCCATCTAGTGAGGTCCATGTATATAGTCATCTTTTATGTTGTTTAAAAAAAGTATTTGCAATGAAGGAATTATTGGTCTTGCAAAATTCTATCATGCGATCTCCAGCATTGTTTCTATCACCAAGGCCATATTTTCCAACTACTGATCCTTCCTGTCTGTTTTCAACCTTTGCATTCCAATTGCCAGTAATTATTGATAATCTTGCTTGCATGTTTGATCAATTTCAGACTGAAGAAGCTGTTTCATCATCACTGGCTTTAGTGGTTCGTGAGTGAATTTGAATAATCGTGGTACTAACTGCCTTGTAGGCATATGGATATTATCATATCACAGACAGCATTATATTTCAAAATAGATCTTGAAATGTTCTTTCTGATGATGAATGTAATACCATTCCTCTTCAATTTGTCATTCCTGGCATAGTAAACCACACGATTGTTATATTCAAAATGGCCAATACCAGTCTGTTGTTATTCTAGGCATTAATCAGCCCATTAATACCTAGAATATCAATGTTTATGAGTTCCACTTCTATTTTTGACAACTTCCAATTCCTAGACTCACACATCGCACATTCTATGTTTCAATTATTAAAGGATGTTTATAGTTGTTTCACCTTTTTTTTGAGTTGTGCCCCATTAGCAAATGAAGGTCCCAAAAGCTTTACTCCATTCACGTCATAACAGTTGACTCTACTTTGAGGATGCATCCTTCCCCAGTTGTATTTGAGTGCTTTCCAACCTGAAGGACTCATCTTCCAGCACTATATCTGACAATATTCTGGTGCTATTCATCACATTTCAATATTCTGGTACCATCTGAGTGTTCTACTGCTATTCATAAGATTTTCAGTGACTACATTTTTGGAAGTAGTCGCTCCTTCTTCCTAGTCTGTCTCTCCTTCTTCCTAGTCTGTCTCTCCTTCTTCCTAGTCTGTCTCTCCTTCTTCCTAGTTTTCTTAGTCTGGAAAGTTCAGCTGAAACCTGTCCACCAATGGTGATCCTATTTAAAATATCCTGTTTAAAGTCTTTAAAATACTGATGGAATAGCTTCCAGAATCACAGCAAAATGCAAGCCACCACAATATGACAAACTGACAGATGACTGTTGGCCTAGGACAATTAGGTCCTCCAAAGCTTTCCACATAAAAAGCATTCAACAAATATGCATCAAAATAATTAGCAGATGGTGGACAATGATTTGCTTATGAATGTCCTGTCCTTTTCAGCCCCTCAGGGATCGAGATGATCAATACAGCCAACTTCAAGGAAATCAACTGAGGAAGAACTGAACTCAAGGCTCAGAGTAGGTATGTCCTTCAAACACCAATTCTAAGAGAGTACATTTGCATTACCTGTCCACTAGATTGCTGCCAAGTCTCTCTGTCTGCCCCAAGTAGATATAATGATCAGGGTGGAGCTGAATGTAGAAAACATTTTCTAAACACACTGGGCCAGTACTGATTTTCTTGGCCTAAGAAAATGAGTGCTGTGTGTATGTGTAAATCCTTTTAGAGTCAGGAGATGCTAAAGCAAGGGAGATGCTAAATATTAACGTTAACCTATATCAGGTTATGTCAACATCTGCTTAATTTGGGGTGGATGGCTATCCTATGCATTTTTTAATGTTTAGAAGCATCTCTAGACTTCAATAGTGCTCTTCATTCATGCAAACAAGAATGCCTCCAGATATTACCAAGTGTCTCTTCCCAGGCAAAGGCCCTTGGTTGAAAACCACTAAGCTATAAATTAACCTTTCAATCAGTCTAGCGATCAGTCAGAACTTTCAATCAGGAAGACAAAGCTACAAGCATTATTTGGTTTCCTGAATTGCATTTTTTTTTCCAATCCAAGTGTCTCCTTTATCCACTTCTTAGCATCAAAGCAATACATACATTTTAAAGAAATCTAAGCAGAAAGACTTTCAAACCTTTTTCTCAAAATTAAATGGAAAGATTCATAGTTGTTAAGTGCCACTGAGTTGGTTCCAACTCATAGTGGTTTGAACCACCAACCTTGCAATTCAAACCGTTCTTATGGCTGAGGGCTTATCCTACAGCACCACACCAGATCTCCTAAACAGAAAGATGTGAAATGCCACCGCATCTGTTTCAAATCATAGTGACCCTGTATAGCGTTTCCAAGAAGTTGGTGGGTTTGAACCACCAAGCTTGTGGTTCATAATTCAGTGCTGATCATACAGTATGGATACTTCACATTTTGTTTATCTACCCACCAGTTGTTGGGAGATTTGAGTTGTTTCCACTTTGAATAATGCTGCCATAAGCTTTCTCATGCAAATCTTTGTGTTGACCTTTTTTTCATTTCTCTAGAGTAGATGTAGCATAGTGGTTACGAATCAGTCTGCGAACCACAAGATCAGCAGTTCAAAACTACCAGCTGTTCTGAGGGAGAAAGATGAGGCTTTCTGCTCCCATAAAGATTTACAGTCTCAGAAATCCTGTATAGGGTGGCTATGAGTCAGAACTGACTCCATGGCATGTAACCAGCACCACTACTACCAGGGTAAATGCACTAGATTGCAAGATCAGTTTGAACTGCAAGGTCGGCACTTCAAACTCACAAGGTACTCCTTGGAAACCCTATACAGGGTTGCTCTGAGTCAGAACGGCACTCAACAACAAGGGGAGATACCAAGGAGTGAAGAATTGCTCAGTCATAAAATAAATAAATACTAGGCTCAGTAAGGAGCCCTAGTAACACTGTACGATAAGCACTGGACTACTAAGTAGTTCAAACCCATCAGCTGTGGGAGAAAGATGATACTCTATGATCCCATGAGGATTTACAGTCTCAGAAACCCTATACAATGAGTCAGAATAGACTTGATAGCACTGGGTTTGAGTTGTTGTTGTTGTTGCTTGGTGTCATTGAGTTGGTACCAACTCATAGTGACCTGATGCACAGCAGAACAAAACACTGCCCGATCCTGGGCCAACTTCACTACTGTTACCACGCTTGAGTCCATCGATGCTGCCACTTGGCCAATCCATCTCCCTGGGGGTCTTCCTCTCTTTCTCTGTCCCTCCACCTTAACAAACATCACATCCTTCTCCAGCAACTGACAATATGTCCGAAGTATGAGAGATGAAGTTTGGCCATCCTGGCCTCCAAGGAGCACTCTGGCTGCACTTCTTCCAAAATAGATCTATTGGTTCTTTTGGCAGCCCATGGCACTTTCACTATTCTCCTCCAACACCATAACTCAAAAGCATCATTTCATCTATGGTCTTCCACATTCACTGTCCAGCTTTCGTATGCATATGAGGTTATTAAAAATACCATGATTTGGGTCAGGCGCACTTTAGTCCTCAAACTGATATCTTTGCTCTTCAACACTTTAGAAAGGTCTTATGCAGCAGATTTGCCTAATGCAATATGTCGTTTGATTTCTTGACTGCTGCTTCCATGAGTGTTGATAGTTGAGCCAAGAAGAATGAAGTCACTAACAACTTCAATCTTTTCTCCGTTGATAAAAATGTGGTTTATTGGTCCAGTGGGGAGGATTTTTGTTTTCTTTACATTGCGATGTAATCCATACCAAAGGCTGTGCTCTTTGATCTTCATCAGCAAATGTTTAAAGTCCTCTTCACTTTCAGCAAGCAAGGTTGTATCATCTGCATATCACAGGTTGTTAATGAGTCTTCCTCCAATCCTAATGCCACGTTTTTCTTCATATAAGCCAGCTTCTAGGATTATTTGCTCAGCATACAGGTTGAATAAGTATGGTGAAAGAATACGAACTTGTTGCACACCTTTCTTAATTTTAAACCATTCAGTGTTCCCATGTTCTGTTTGAACAACTGCCTCTTGGTCCAGGTACAGATTCCTCATGAGCACAATTAAGTGTTCTGGAATATTCATACTTCGCAATGTTGTCCATAGCTTGTAATGATCCACATAATCAAAAGCCTTTGTGTAGTCAATAAAGCACAGGTAAACATCTTTATGATATTCTCTGCTTTCAGATACAGTAAATTTATGTTTAACATTTTAAGGAATTGCCAAACTATTTTCCAAAGTCACCACGTATTCTCACCAGCAGCGTATGAGGGTTCCTGTCTCTGCACATCCTCACCAATAGTTGTTACTAATTGTTTTTATTATACCCTTTTTAGTGTGTGTAACAGAATCACTGGATGATGAAAAATGTTAATGAGCTGGGCTGCTAACCAAAAGGTTGTAGATTCGAGTCCACGGAAAGCCCCTTGGAGATCTATGTACAAAAAAATCAGCCCTTCAAAATCCTGTGGAACACAGTTCTACTCTGACACAAATGGGATCCTTATGAGTCAACTTGACAGCAACTGGTTTTCTTTTAGTGAATGAAAAATACTATCACCTTATAGTTTTAATTTGCATTTCTCTAATGATGTCGAAAATCTTATCTTGTACCTATTTGCCACACTATTTTCTTCTTTGCTCAAATGTCTATTCAAATATTTTACCCATTATTTTAAATTGGGTTGTCTTATTATTGAATTGTAAAAGTTCTTTATATTTCTGAATACAAGTCCTGTATCAGATGCATAATTGGTGAATATTTTCTCTTAACTTTCCGCTTCTCTTTATTTTTTTTAAATGTCTTATGAAGTGTAAAAGTTTTTAATTTTGATAAGCCATTGTTGTCAAATTTTTATTTTATGGATTGTGCTTTTGATGTCTTATCTAAGTCACAAAGAATTTCTCCTGTGTCCTATTCTGAAACTTTTATAGTTTTACCTCTAGCAATAAATGTCATTTTGAACATGACTATTTGTAGCATAAATACAAATAAATGGAATTGCTGGGTTATAATGTCATAGGTTAATTGCTGGGCCATAGTGCTGTAGGTTAACTGCTAACCTCAAGGTTGGAAGTTCAAAGTCACCAGTAGCTCCTTGGAAACCTATACAGGGTCTCTGTGAGTCAGTACCAACTCTACAGCACTTCAATCACAATTCAATGACAACAATGTATTTTTTTTTTTTTTTGGTTGCCTATGATACTTTTAATATTAGTCTCTAACACCATAATTCAAATAAATTTATGCTTTTATGATCTGCTTTATTCACTGTCCAACTTTCACATACATATGAGGCAATTGAAAATACTATGGCTTGGGTAAGGCATACCTTAGTCCTCAAACTGAGGTTTTTGCTCTGCAACACTTTAAAGCAGTCTTGCACAGCAGATTTGGCTAATGCAACGTGACTTTCAATTTCTTGACTGTTGCTTCCATAAATGTTGATTGTGCATCCATGCAAAATGAAATCTTTATGACAACTTCAATATTTTCTCCCTTTATATGGATGTTATTTATTGGTCCAGTTGTGAGGTTTTTGTTTTGTTTTTTTACATTGAGGTGCAGCCCATACTGATACTCATCTTTGATCTTCATCAGTAAGTATTTTAAGTCATCTTCTCTTCCTGAAAGCAAGGTTTTACAATCTGCAAATCACAGGTTAATGATGACTCTTCCTCCAATTCTTTTTTCTTTGTATAATCTATTACTCAAAGTGTTTGCTCAGCATACGGACTGAATAAATATAGTGAGCAAATACAGTTCTGGCACACATCTTTCCTGATTTGAAACCATTCTTTCTTCCCTTATTTGACATGAATGACTTCCTTTAGTCTATGTACAGGTTCCTCATGTTCTTTAACTTTCTCTTTGTCCCATTGCTTGTACTCCATCAGCCAATTTTGACAACAATGTATTTATATGTATAATGTTATTAAATGCTGACTAATTGAAATTCATAAGGAGCTCTGGTAGCGTAGTGGTTACGAATCGGGCTGCGAACCTTAAGGTCAGCGGTTCAAAACTACCAGCCGCTCCGCAGGAGAAAGATGAGGCTTTCTACTCCCGTAAGGATTTACACCCTCGGAAACCCTGTACAGGGTCGCTATGGGTCGGAACCGACTCGACGGCACTTAACAACAACAACAATTGAAATTCATAGATGTTGTATCAATAGATATTCTAACCAACAATAGACAAGAGTGTTACACTTTCCAATAGTATATTCTTAAACTTTTAAAACTTTGCCTATCTAAAACTGTCATCTCAGTATAGTTTTAATTTGCATTTTCCTTATTAAAAATGAGAGTGAGCCATTTGTTTTTTCATTTTCATGAAATGCTGGTTCGCATTGGTATTTTTCTTACTGATTTACAACAATCCTTTACATTTTGGAAAACTAGGTCTTTTGTCTGTGATAAAAGTTGAGAATATTTTCCTAACTTTAATTTTTGGTTTCTGCACCTATTTTAAAAAATATCTCTTTTA